TTTTTTTCCAAAAACTTCCCCTTTTCCTGTAATCCGGGGAATGTAAAATGGCAAGCGTAAAAGCCCTCGCCTGAAAATTTTTAGGTCTTTCTTGGGGAGAGGGGAAGACTGTCATAGTAGCCAGCTAAGTGGCTGCCATGGCAGCAAGGTCAAAATTCTTTTACCCTCTTTTCCTTTTTTTCATTTATTATTATTTATTTTACCTATTACATTACGTGAATTATTTTTGGTGTTCCCATAAATATGAGAAGAAACCGAAGAATGTTTTGTTTTATTTTCATTTTGCTATGTTTTTGAGGGAGTTGGAGAAAATCTGTAAAATCTTGTATGCTGTATATACTCAATCCTGTGTCTGTGTCTATCTTTTTAATACAAAATTTACCACTTGTTGTTTTCATTTTGGGTTTTGATTGGTATGTTAAATTTTTCATTTTGAATGCTGTCTGTAAATTTGCTCCTAGATACTAAGAAAATGTTTGCTTAATTTGAATAATTAGTTGAAAGTGAGTCTGAGTAGATCATAATTGGTTTTCTTTTATATCAAATGTTATAGAATATATTTATTTCTTTTACAGCATTTCTAAAATTGTTGAACTAATTGCTTGTTTGTTTTCATGATGCTATAGGTTTATTCTAACAAATCTGAGAAGAGTTGACAAAAATAAACAACATTTTTGTAATGGCGTCTAGGGTTTCACTAAAGAGCAAAGGCAAAGCAGGGAAGGGATCGAAAGGCTCGGAGGAGAAATCGATTGCACAATGCTTGAAGGAGTGGAGCACATGGACCATGAAGAAGGCCAAAGTGGTAACACATTATGGCTTCATTCCTTTGGTGATCATCATCGGCATGAACTCTGAGCCCAAGCCCCAAATTTATCAACTCCTGAGCCCTGTTTGATTCGGTTGCCTTTTTTCTAACACCCAGATCTTGGTCTTGCACTTTGTGTAATGGATTGGAGCCTATTTGTCGAAACTACAGTGTTATGTTTAGAGGTATGATGTTGGGTTTATTTATATAAGCCTATGAATGAATAATTATAAATAGTACGTTTTATGAAAATTTGGATCCTACTTTTTCCCCATGATTGAGATGAAGTTATTAGATATCTGCATGCAAATGTTGTCGGACATAGGAAACATAGGTTGTTGCCTTCTCATCAACATTCTCGTCACCTCCCCAAGTAGGATGTGATAACCATTCCATCAGTGAAATTAGCAGGATTAGAAAGAAGAAGAACAAGACACCTTTTGCATTGACGAATAGTCTGCCAAATTCTGATCGTTAAAACCCCTGGCATAACTGTTTTGAGTAGGCTGTAATGAGCTTGGACCAATCTTGCTGCTATCAAATTGCTGATGGAAAGTAGGCTTAGCAACATGAGAGAAAGACTTATAATTGGCAAGCTTTTATTTGGAAAACCCCATTTGCCAGAAGGTTGCTTCAGTATAGGGAGGTATTAGGTAGAGATGTTTAGTTACACATGACCATCAGAAACTCTTATATATATAGAGTTTGATCGATTCTAAAAATTGAGTGAATGGAGAAGAACAGAATTCGGATATATTCCCTCATGTGTTTGTTGTGTATTTCCCTGCATGCCCCTTACTGTTTTCAATATTTGTGATGTGTTATAGACTGGAAAGTTATTGTCGAAATCTTTACCATCTTCTTTTTTCAAACAAAACATCAGGACTTCATAGTGGAGCATCCACATCTTTAATCTTTCATCGTCTTTCTTCTAGAAATGCATTGTCGTCCATTTGATATAGATAATTTCAAAAGCTAGAAAAAGTGAAGGAAAAAACATTTTTCTTTCACTTGATTAATTTGATAAAAAAAAATTGCTCTTTAATTAAAGGAAATTTTTACAAATGAATCGAATGCTAAGGTCGGCTTCTATTGAGTTTAAGATCATAGTTTGATATGTAACAAGAACAACAATAATTTAGTTTCCCATGAAGTTGTGGTTCATTGTATTACATTATTGTTGAGCAAAATATGAAGGCAGCAAATTGGAAAATATATGATAGTATTGTTCTTCTAAAGTATAACTTTATTAGAAGAAATCATATGAACCTTCTCTCGTGGAGAAGGATTGGGTGAAATATTGCTGATTAAGGAGCACTTATTCCATATTAGTGTGCTTCTTCGGAAAATAAGATTTTGAAGAGGCTTTTTTACCAGTGTATGACATATTGAACCAAGTATGACAAGTTTGTCACAACAGTCATACGTGACAGTTCCAGTCTTGATTTTGAATATGTTGATGAAAACCTCCATAACACAATGTAAAGTCATCTTCTTATTGTAATTATATGTCTTGATGGGATCGATTCGTTTAGCCATTACTGCTCCACTCGCCACGATGACCAAAACTCCTAAAGCAACGTAAACATTCAAGCTTGCCAATGTTGCAGCTTTGGGGTTAATGGGATTAATGTTTCTTGATTAATTAGTATAAAAACAGCTCTCAAAGAACTAATAATGAAAATAAAAATAGTAGTGATGGTATGAACTAATAATGAAAAGGGACCCTCACCCTGCATGGATGGGTTGCAATGTCAATAATCAAACTCTTTGATTGAATTGGTGGCCAACTTCCACCACAGATGCAAGGTCAATATCCCTTCTCTTCCAAGCGACTAGCTTTTTATCTTTTGAATTCTTCTTTATTCCTTAATTTAGTAACGATTTGTCCCAAAATTTTGTTCAAAATGGTATTCAATGGTTGGATTAAGATATTTCAATTAAAAAACATAGAATAGATTGTGTAGATGAGATTCATAATCTATTTTTTATTAGGTTATCCTTTCTTTGACTATTTACTTATTCTCCTTATAACTTTTTTTTAATTTAATGTTTTAATTGTTATTCCTAAGAAATGAATATAATTAAATGTTGCTTATAAATGTTATTGAAGTTGAAATTTCTTTAAGATTTTTATAACTTCTTCTCTCCTTTTACCATACAAATGAACATTTTTTTGATAAATTAGTTTTTGCAACAGTACAAAAGTATTCTGCTAATGATCAGAACAAAAGAGAAATTTGTATTCCTCAAGCGCAATGGCAAGTTTCAATATTTATATTGCTTTCGGTGTTTTGGTAATTATATCAGGTGGAGTGGTCATGGCTCGTGATTTTGATCCGATCAAAAAAAAAAAACAATTGTGAAACTAAGATGACAATACATTGTGTTATCGAGGTTTTTATCAGTATATTCAAGACTAAAACCGTTTCTGATAATTTTTGTCATAAACTTATAGGACTTGATCAACTTTGTTATAATGCATAGGTGAAAAATACTCTTTAGAATCTTCTATTTAAATATAATGATACATCGGTGATCTTATTAAAAATTGCTCAAATATGAAATAAATGTACTCTAATTGTCGAAGATGTTTCGTCCACTCTTTCTCTTTGAAAAGGTTAATAATTTATTTTATTAACAAAAATTCTAAAAAAAAAATACTTTCAATATTATTCTTATTGAATAAATACAAATCAATTTCATTATTATGTTTCAATTTCTTAATTTATGCCATGATAACGAAAGGCAGAATTATGGCCAGAATATAGCTTATGTTTAGCTTCGTCGCGTGAGCTCGAAATCAAGAATGGCATTAAGCGGTCAAACTGAACAAGAGGCCAGCCTCTGCCAGACAATTCAACACGGTCAAAGCTCTCCACAGCCACTGCAATAGGATGCCAAATCAACAACCAGTTCCACTTCGTCAAATTTTGGCCCATTTAATTTTTATTAATATTCTCAATGATCCAACAAAATGCATATCCAATTGCCAGTTTCCTTACCATTATCTGCTTCAAGCTCAACTTTAGTCCATTTTCTTTCCAACGTAATGAACAATAAAGCATATTAAGCCTATCCAAAAACCCTGAAGAACAATAAAGCATCAAAGGGAATCATAAGGAAGATTGATTAAGAACAGAATTATGGAATGTAGATCACTACTTTAAAAAAGAATTATATATATTCTTCACCTCAATATAAAGCTTGAACTTAAATCTAAGAAGGCCTGCAATTGGCACTCCAATGAAATGGAAAGGTCCCCAAATTAGCCACACTGCCAATAACTTTTTTCTTTTTACTAAATACCATAGAAACAAAAAAAAAAAAAACTTTTTTACACCTTTTTGCTGGCCAGTATTCTCTGTGGAAAAAACTTTTTGTCTATAACTCAATTTTTATGTCATGATAATTGGTAAGTTTGATTTATTTACTTATTTTATTTTTAATATTTTCAACTTTAAATTTTTTTATTTATTTAATAATTTCTACTTGGTGATTTTGATTTAGAATTTACAATCTTAGTCATTTTTTGTTGAAAGCAACAAAATAAGAATTTGATTAAGTACTTAATGTTAGTTTTTACTTATTTATTTAGGGATTGTTTGATTACTTTTCTACAAATTATTTGTGTTTTATTTTATTTGGTTATATTCTAGTGAACAATAAAGTTTTTATTCCATTTGTAGATCTCATCTTTAAACGGTTCCGACCACGAACTATGTTCGCTTTCCCACAAGTCTATTCCTCTCGCCGCCATTGTTCCACCAGCTCCTCATCATTCTTATTGATGCCCACGACTTTCAACATTGTATGTGTCCAAAAAAGAATAGATGAATAACTAATTAATTATTATGTTACTCATAACCTCTCGTTTTAATGATAATTTTGTACTAATAACATGGAAAGCTAACCATCGTGCTTTCATATTTGTTGCTTTAATGTCACAAATAAATAAAAAATTCTTGTGGTTTTAGATTCAGCAAATTAATTCATAAGCTGAAAAACTTAATGCTATTGTACCTGAAATCTCATTAAAATATTTTTCAAGTACGTTTTACTATCTCCTCCCTCACGGTTATCCTATAAATAAATATTTTCCAAGCAAACTAATTCTTGCAGTAGTACCAAAGTATTCTGTCAACCAAAACGAGAGATAACAATTACTAATTAAGTCGTAATGGCAAGTTTCAATGTTTATGTTGTTTTTGGAGTTTTGACTATTATGGCAGGTGGAATGGTCATGGCTCGTGATGTTGATCCCATCAAGGTAAATAATTGTGAAACTAAGATGACATTGCATTGTGTCATTGAAGTTTTCACAAGTATATTCAAGATCGGAATTGTTACGGATAATTGTTGCATTGAGCTGATAAGACTTGGTCAATTTTGCCATGATGCATTAATCAAGAAAACTCTTCAAAATCCTCTATTTAAGAATAATGATACATTGGTGATCTTATCAAGAGGTGCACAAGTATGGAATAAGTGCAATTTAGTTAACAAAGATGTTTCGCCCTCTCCTTCTCCTAATTAGGAAGGTTGAAAATCTAGTTTTATCAATAAATATTAAAACAATATTATCTTTGTCATTTGCAGTGTATCCCATGGTATTAAATAAATCATGATCCTAAACTTTTGATTCCAATGCATTTATTGGGTTTTCTTGATTTGGAATGAAAAATCTTCAAAGAGTGGAGAAATTAATGTTACATAACAAAATGTTTTAATAAATAATAACAAAATGTTAGAACTGTAATGTCTTCGTATTGCTACTTCTTTGTCATGTGCTCCTTGGCTGCGCTGAGGTGTTATTGTGTGCTTATAGTGCTCCATATGGTGGCTTTTATGTTTTTGGAGTTGTTTTAAAATTGTTTCATACATACATTGGTTTTTTTTATAGAGGCGATTATGTCACAAAGAGGTTTGTGTCGTGTACAGTTTTGATTAAGGTATTTCTTTGGTAATTACTGCTAAAGTGGGCATTCTCACACCAATTTAACGTTTGGTGTCCTTGTATCATATCTTAATCAATATTTATGTATTTTAATTTGAATTTCAAGTTAAATTTGAATGTCATATTTCAATAGTAACTTTTGTTATGAATTGTGGATTTGAATTTTAAGTCAAAATGAGAAAGAGATTATTTATGATTATTTTTATTAATTTCATCGATGGAATTCCCTAGCCAATTAATTACCTCATCACCAGCAAAATTCCATAGATAAATTCAATAGTTTTTTATGGATTTGATACTATGACTACCGACAGTTTAGCCTACTTGTTTAGCCATTTTTTCACCTTTTTCAACAAAATTTTCCATTTAAAATTTCAAAGTTTTATTGACAAAATTATTTTAATTTTTCAACAGTTGCCATTGCTTACTACATTTTCAGCGACAAAATTTTTGACGAACTTTTTCTGTAGAATTTTGTTGAAAAAAGTCAATTTTTTTGTAGCGTTAAAATTGGACTAATTATTAAAAAATGGTTACTCTAATTATTGAAAAATGGCCTCACTCTAATTTAATTTCAAAATTTATAAGAAAAGATCTTAAACAAAAATGGGGTGTCTACAAATATTATTTTTTATCAAGATTTAAATAAAAATAAAATGATATGTACAGAAATTTGAAATTTTCCTCCAGAAAATGCTATTGGAAACAGTAAGTTTTTTTGTAGTATTAAAACATTTGTTTACTTATAAAAAATTATCTTAATCGAACTAGTAAAATAGTGTTTGTGAACAAAAATTCTGTGACAATTTGTTAGCAAATTAAGGAACGAGCATAACTTTTTTTAAAAAAAAAGAAAGGAAGATTTTTCTATATGGAGAATGAGGCAATAGATGGAGAAAAGATAACGTAATAAAAATTAAATTATTAGATTATGGATCTAAGCTACACAATCTTAGGAATAAAGAAGAATTGAAGAGATAAAAGAGAACCGGGAAATAGACAAACTAAAGATAACCGAATAAAAATTATATTATTTGGTGGAATTGAAAAGGAAAATAGCTAATCGTTTGTACAAAGGGACATACAGACCAACCGCACGGGCCCACATCACAGAAGCACAGGGTAACACCAAACCTCTGCGGGATCGCCTTCGTCCGTTCGACAGCCCCTCTAGGTTTCTGGCCCACGCAACCGAGGCCGGCGGCGGTCGAGGCGACGGTTATGACTAACGTACATACTAATTACAGATTATCTATTCGATGTGGGACGTTGTGCACAGCTGCGGGTTCAATTTGAACCTTTTAGTTGTATTCAGGCAGGATTAGAAGAAGAAGACACCTTTTGCATTGACGAATAGTCAGCCAAATTCTGGTCTCCCATAACCGTTTCGAGTAGGCGGTACTGAGCTTGCTGCTACCAAATTGCTGATAGGAAGTAGGCTTAGCAACGTGAGAGAGAGTTCTGATTGGCTTGCTTTCTTTTGGAAATCCCCATTTTCCTGAAAGTTGCTTCGGCAGAGGGAGATATTTGGTAGAGATGTTTAGTTTTACATGACGATCAGAAATCTCTTCTATATATGGAGTTTGATCGATTCTAAAATGGAGTGAGTCGTAGGATTTTGTGTGAATGGGAAAGAAACAGAACTCTGATAACACTTACTACATTTTCAGCCACGAAATTTTTGACAACCTTTTTCTTTGGAGTTTCGTTGGAAAAGATCATTTTTTTTTTGCTTTTTTGTAGCCTTAAAATTGGATTAATTATTAAAAAATGGTCCTACTTTAATTTAATTCAAGATTTGAAAAAATGACTCCGGACAAAAATGGGGTGTCTACAAATATTATTTTATATCAACATTTAAATGAAAATACTATGATATGTATGAAAATTTGACTTTTTCTGAAGGAAAATTTCGTTTGGAAACAATCAGTTTCTTTGTAATTTTAAAATATTTGGTTACTTATAAAACATGGTCTTAATCTAATTTAATTTCAAAATTTATAAAACGACCCCGAATAAAGTGGGTTGTCTACAAATATTTTCTTACATCAAGATTTGAATAAGAGTGCTAAGGTATGTATGTATGTATATTGATGAAATTCTTTTTGTATTTATGAAAATCATCATCTACCCAAAACTATATTCACAAAAGAATTTTACTTTTCATTATCATGGCATAAACGAACAAACTGAAGATTATAATGAAATTGATTTGCCTTTTTATATGAAAAGAACAACATTGAAAGTATATTATGTCTTTAGAATTTTTATTGATAAAATAAATTATTAATATAACTTTCTCAAGGAGAAGAAGTAGGTGAAACATCCTCGCCAGCTAAAGTACACTTATTCCATACTTGAGCTGCCCTTGATAAGATTACTGATGTATCGTTATTTTTAAATAGAGGATTTTCAAGAGTTTTCTTCACCAATGCATTATGACAAAGTTGACCGAGTCCTATTAGTTCATGACAACAATTATCAGAAACGGTTCCGGTCTTGAATATACTAGTGAAAACCTCGATAACACAATGCGTTGTCATCTTAGTTTCGCAATTGTTTGCTTTGATCGGATCAACATCACGAGCCGTGACCGCTCCACTTGTCATAATCACCAAAACACCAAAAGCAATATAAGCGTTGAAACCTGCCATTACACTCAAGGAATACTAACTCTCTTTTTTTGATCGTTGGCAAAATACTTTTGTACTGCTGCAAGAATTGATTTGCCTGGAAATTGTTTCATTTATAGGGTAAAGGGAGGGAAGACGTTATAAAAACCTTAAAGACATTTCAGCTTCAATAGCATTTATATGTGTTCAACTTAATCAGGTACTGATAGGTAGAAACTATTAATTATACTCATTTTTTAAGAATTCCAATTATATTCATTTCTTATATTTTTTATTCATATATGCAGCATTAATGTCACAAACTATCAAACATAATATGGTGGCCAAAAATTTTGTTTTCAGACTAATGTAACTTTCCTTTAAAATATTCTGTAACTGAAAATTATAAATGAATGCTATACTAATTAAACAACTTTTCTGATTGAAAATTTGTCAAATTAATTCATACACCAAAAAACTTAATGCTATTGAACCTGAAATCTCATTAAAACGTTTTTGAATGCATCTTAGTCTCTCCTTCCTCGTGGTTATCCTATAAATAATCATTTTCCAGGCAAATTAATTCTTGCAGCTATACCAAACACTACCAAAAAACAATTATAAATTTGTTGGAGCCGCGATGGGTTTTTGCCATAGTCCAAAACTATGGAAATTACCCAGCGTCGCGGCCTTGGTTTCTTGGTGTCGCGGTGTTGTGTTTTGGCAGTAGCGCTGCAGCGCTGAGCTCTCTGGAAAAGATTGCATTTGTTCCTTTCACAAGTGTGGAAGCCTTATTTATAATATATTTGTTAACATTAAATTGATGAAATTGTTTGTCCAGATGGTAAAGGCTTTGGTTATGCTCCTCTCATCTTTGGGTTTGAATCACATCAGCCACAAAAATTATTATTTTTAATTATTTAGATGAGTATTTAATCGGGTTCTGGTAACAGGTATCCGAAAAGTGATACCCGTACCCTACCTAAAACCGATTCGGGTAGTGGTTTCACTACTCGAATCCAATTGTAATTTAATAAATGAATAATTATTAATAAAAATAAAACTTTAATATATTTATATTAAACTAAAATCAATTCTTTTGTTATTTAATTATAATATATTGTTTATTAATTACTAACTAAATTTACTACTTTGTAAAATATTAATTACTTATTTATAATAAATATAAGTATATAATATGTCAATTTTAATAGTATATGTTTATATGTATTACTTATATATATATATATATATATACGAAATTAATGACAAATTTATAAATAAACATATTAACATTTAAGTTATTTTTTATTCAATAAAGTTTTCAAAAATGTAAAAAAATAAGCAAAGGAAAACATATTTACTTTTTTAAATATTATAAACTTCAGTATGTATATATTTCTTTTTATTAATAACTATTTTTTATAAAAGATTAATAAAATTTATAAAAAATTTTTATTATATTCTAAGTAAAAAAATTTTAAAAATAGGATTACCAACAGAATTTTTTAATGGAATATTTTTGTTGGAAATCCGTCGAAAATATTCACAAAAAGTTCTGTTGGAATTCCGTTGGAAATCCATTGGAAATTTCCAACAGAAAATTTCCAACGGAATTTTTTCCATCGGAAAAAATCTGTTTTCTTGTAGTGAAAGTATTCTACCAACCAAAACGAGAGACACTAATTACTCCTTGAGACGTAATGGCAAGTTTCAATGTTTATGTTGCTTTTGGAGTTTTGACTATTATGGCAAGTGGAGTGGTCATGGCTCGTGATGTTGATCGCATCAAGGCAAATAATTGTGAACCTAAGATGGCATTTTATTATGTCACTAAAGTTTTCACAAGTATATTCAAGACCGGTATTGTTACAGATAATTGTTGCATTGAGCTTATAGGACTTGGTCAATTTTGCCATGATGCATTAATTAGGAAAACTCTTCAAAATCCCCTATTTAAGAATAATAATACATGGGTCCTTTTATCAAGAGGTGCGCAAGTGTGGAATAAGTGCAATTTAGTTAACAAAGATGTTTCGTCCTCTTTTTCTCCTTATTAGGAAGGTCAAAAATCTAGTTTTATCAATAAATATTAAAAAAACTGAAATTCTTAATTTTTTTTTCTCAGCCATAAAATGATTTCATTAATATAAAGGTAGGTACAAAAAGAGCAACCGCTACCCAAAGGTGGAAGCAGTAGCACCGCATGAAAAAAGCTGAAACAAAATGACTCCAGACACAAACAACCACACAACATGGACACAAAGCAGAGAAATGAACTGAACAAAGAAAAATAAAGAAGAGCTGGAAAAGACCAAGGAAAGGCCCTTGTTATCGGCGATTAAGACAGCATCGAGTGTTAAAACAATACACAGGAGGCGCGAGGAAGTAGACTCTGTGTGAAAACCTGGCCGCGGTAAGTCCGTAAGTGCACATGAGACAATGGCGTTGATGAAATCCGAAATCCCAAAACTGAAATGCACACATCCCATCCTCTACCCTGAGCATTTGATCATGAAAAAGTGACCAACGCAACACCAACTAGAGGGGAAAACAATTCGAATAAGCATGAGGCTTTCCATATAGCTTGTTTGTCAGTGAATTAAGATAAATCCAGGATCCTTGAACACAAAAAATCAATCTTTGAACCGAAGAATGAAAAAAGAGTCCTTATCCTGAACTGCAAGGAGACCCCTAACCAACAATCTGCAAGACTTATAAAGTCGGATTACTTGAGGGATCATACTGATTTGCAGGGGGTTCCCCAATCCGCGTACATTCCATACCAAAATATGGATAATGTGAAACTTGTGAGAAAAGGTGGAGAAGATGGCAAAGACTCAAAAGCAAAAAGACATGATCGAAGCTTAGAGACATCCAGTTGTCGGGGGAGCCGTGCAATCAAAAGATAAAATGAAGCCCATATACATAAGAATAGGTTAGTATAGAAAAGGCTGAGACCACTTTTTAATAATTAATCCAATTTTAAGTCTTGCATTGGAAATTTCAAAGATTTATAGATGTGAGACCGTTCATTTCAATTACTGACGGATTAACCTACTTGTCTAAACATTTTTTCACCTTTCTCAACCTAATTTTGCATTGGAAATTTCAAAGATTTATAGATGATTTTTTAATTTTTCGACCATTGACATTACATTCTATATTTTAATGATGAAAATTTTCATTGGAATTTTATCATAAAAAGTTAATTTCTTTTGTAATGTTAAAATTGGGTTAATTATAAAAAAATGCTCTCAATATAATTTAGTTTCAAAATTTACAAAAATAATTCCGGATAAAATGCGGTGTCTATAAAATTTATTTTTTATTAAGATTTCAATAAAAGGGTTAAGATATGTACAGAAATTTGACTTTTTCCCAAGGAATACTCTATTAGAAAACTTCATTTTTTTTTGTATTGTTAGAATATTTGTTACTTATAAAAAATGGTCTTAATTTAATTTAACTTCAAATTTTTCAAAAATTGCCCAAGATAAAATGGAGCGTCTATAAATATTATTCTATATAAAGATTGGAATAAAAGTTCAAAGATTTGTATGTATTTTTATGAAATACCTTTTATATTTATGAACATCATCATTTACCCAAAACTATATTCACATGAATTTTTACTTTTCATTATCTTAATATAGACTAACAAACTGAAGATTATAATGAAATGATTTGCATTTATCCAGAAAAGAACGACACCAAAAGTATTATTTCTTTAAAATTTTTATTAATAAAAATAAATTACTAACCTTTTCAAGGAGAAGGAGTGGGCGAAACATTCTTGCCAACTAGGTTACATTTAGTCCATACTTGAGCAGTTCTTGATACGATCACTTATGTATTGTTATTTTAAAATAAAGGATTTTGAAGAGTTTTTTTCACCAATACATTATGACAAAGTTGACCGAGTTCTATAAGTTCATAATAACAATTGTTAAAAACAGTTTCGATCTTAACTATACTAGTGAAAACTTCAATAACACAATGCATTGTCATCTTAGTTTCACAATTATTTGCTTTGATCGGATCAACATCCCGAGCCATGACCACTTCACTAGTCATAATTACCAAAACACCAAAAACAATATAAACGTGGAAACTTGCCATTACACTCAAGAAATACTCATTTTTCTTGTTTCAGTTGTTGGTAGAATGCTTTTGTATTGCTGCAAGAACTGATTTAGAAAGAAAATATAGGACAAAGGCAAGGAAGAGTTACAAAAATTTTAAATTCATTTAAGCTTCAATAGCATTTATAAGTATTCTACCTGATTGGGTGCACAAACTCTTTATTATATTCGTTTCTTAAGAAATTCGATGAATTTGAGAAAGGAAGAAAGTTTCTTATATATCAAGAATGACTAAATGGACAAAGAAAAGAAGAATTCAAAAGATAAAAAGAAAAGATAGCGTAATAAAAATTAGATTACAAATTCAAAAGATAAAAAGAAAAGATAACTAATAAAAATTAGATTAGGGTGTAATCTAATTAATCGAACTATTCAATACTATTGTGAACAGAGCAAAGAGCAAGTTAAGGAATAAAGAAGAATTCAAAAGATAGGGGTCCCTTTTCGCAAGGTATTCAATACTATTGTGAACAGAGCAAAGTAAGGAATAAAGAATTAGGATCTTACTTTTCGCAAGGTATTCAATACTATTTTGAACAGAGCAAAGTAAGGAATAAATAATTAGGATGTAATCTTATTAGTCGAACTAATACTATTGTGAACAGAGCAAAGGAATGAGGACGGTCCCCTTTTCGCAGGGTTAGGGGGCGCACAGGATCCTCACAGAGCCAAAGGTTAACTTCAACCCTCTGAGATATTCGAGGATGTTAATACCCCTTCTAGTCACAACCCCACGTTACCGAGCTGGGCTCCCAAGCCAGTCACGCTCACCCTTAATAAACATATTAATTATAGGATTATCTATTTAATGGGGGACTTGTTCCAACGACTGCAATCACATGTAAATCCCACTTTATCCCTGTACTAGTAATTGGCAAATCACGTTTTGTCGATCAACCTTAATTTTGCTCAACATTGGTTGAAAAGAAATAAAGTGGTAGCAACTTATTCGGGTGAACAATTTTCAATTTTAATCAAATTAACTGAAAGTTTTTGCTTAAAATGATTGGATTATGAGATTAAGTTTTATTTCTTATTTGAGTTTTTATTATCATACAGGGCATAAACAAGGCTTATTATGTCGTGAAGAGGCAGGAGGAAAAGACGCAGAAAATCAGAACAGAGCATTTGCATTCGTAACTAAGACAAATTTCAGTGTATATTAATTGTTTAATTGCAAAAAGTGTACAAAAATTATAAATTGTTGATGAAAGAAAAGGTCATAGTCATAGAAATGGCACTACTCCCTCTAAAGCATTTCCTGGTACTTGCTACTTTAAAGAATCAACACTCTCCACGCAAACGTTCCCGGACATGGGAAATGTAGCGTGTTGCCTTCTCATCAACATTCTCGTCACCACCCCAAGCAGGATTAGAAGAAGAAGAAGACACCTTTGGCATTGAGGAATAGTCTGCCAAACTCTGATCGGTAAAACCCCTCGCATAATCGTGTCGAGCAGGCTGTACTGAGTTTGGACCAACCTTGCTCCTATCAAACTGCTCATAGGAAGTAGGCTTAGCAACATGAGTGAAAGACTTATGATTGGCTAGCTTTCTTATGGAAAACCCCATTCGCCTGAACTTTGCGTCTTAGAGAGGGAGATGTTTAGTTACATATGACCATCAGAAATCTCTTCTATATATAGAATTTGATCGATTCTAGAAATTGAGTGAATGGGGAAGAAATAGAATTTGGATATATTCCGTCGTATGTTTCTCTGTAAGAGCTTTCAACCGCGTTTTCTGAGTATTTCCCTGAAGTTGCCCAACAAAGATACATGCCCTGGCTGTTTTCAATGTTTGTGATGTGAAATCTACTTTAAAGAGTTATGGTCCGAAGCTTTACTATCTTTTTTTTAAACCAGAACATAACTTCATAGAAAGTTCTCAACCTATAACAGAATCTTTTCATATTCTGCGTCTAAAAACGGAAGCAACCTAAGATTGTTCCAAACTGGACAATTGCCTGTCCATTTGCTAAAAAGGGTAGGTCCCCACGTGCTTTATTGTTAAAAAGCTTGGATAAATTTCTTGGTTTTTCCCCTGTTTAAAGAATTTTCTAGGGAATGTTGGGCAGTCACCAATGTTTGGTATATTGGGATAAAATGGTTTGATAGCAATTCAACCATCCAGGTTTGACTCTTTCCCTATATGCATTTTTACGAAATACATTTTTATTTACAAATTATTTATTGTATTTACGAACATCATTATTTATTCAAAATCATATTAAATTTTACTTTTTCGTTATCATGGCATAATTAAAATGAAGATTATAACGAAGTTGATTTGCATTTATTCAAAAAAGAACAATATTGAAAGTAACCTCTTTTTATAATTTTATTAATAAAATAAATAATTAACTTCTTAAAGAGAAAGATTGCAATATAAATTCACTTATTCCATATTTGAACAGACATTGATAAGATCACTGATATATTATTATTTTTAAATAAAGGATTTTTAAGAATTTTCTTCACCAATGCATTAAGACAAAGTTGATCGAGTCCTATAAGTTCATGACAACAATTATTAAAAACAATTTCAGTTTTGAATGTACTAGTGAAAACCTCGATAACACAATACATTATCATCTTAGTTTTACAATTGTTTGCTTTAATCGAATCAACGTCACCAGCCATGATAGCTCCACTGGTCATAATCATCAAAACACAAAAAGCAATATAAACATTGAAACTTGCCATTATGCTAAATGAATACTAACTTCTCATGTTATGGTCGTGGCAGAATACTTTTGTATTGTTGCAAGAATTGATGTATCAAGAAAATATTCATTTATAGGGTAAAGAGAAGGTAGATGTTATAAATATCTTAAAGACATTTTAGCTTCAGCAGTGTTTATAAGAATTCCACCCGATCACGTATTAATGGGCATAATCTTTTAATTATAGTTGTTTTTTAGGAATTCAATGAACACATTAAATCAAGAAGGACAAAAGAAGGAAGAATGTTATTTATGGAGAATGAGCAAATTAAACAGACAGAAAGGGTAACCTCATAAAAATTAGATCATGGATCTAATCCACACATTCTGTTCCATATGTTTCAATTGAAAAATCTTAATTGAAGTATTCAATACTATTGTGCACAAAAATTATGGGACAATTTGTTAGAAAATTAAGGAATAAAGAAGAATTCAAACGGTACTAATAGTTGTGCACTCTACTATACACTGTCCAAAGTCTAAACCATTTCCTGATGATACTTGGCTGCAATATATATGAATCAATTGTCTATCTCTAGCTTGAAACGTTCTCGTACATATGAAATGTAGCTTGTGGCCTTCAAATCAATGTTTTCATCAGCATAACCCCAAGCAGAATACGGAGACACCTTCTGCAAAGAAGAATCGTTTTTCCGATTCTGATGTGTAACACCTCTTGCGGAACTGTGTTCTGTAGGATGTGGGCTTGGACTAACCTTTCTACTACCAAATTTCTGATGAGAAGTAGGCTTGGTGGCTTGAGGGCAAGACTCGGCTATCTTGCTTCTGGAAAACCCCCTTTGCTTGAGAGTTGCCTCCATTTTGGATATCAAACTCTTGGTAAAGGTATTTGGTGTAGATCATCGATACATGGGTATATTCTCTATATATAATGGAGTCTGGAATTTTGGGTATATTCTCTCTTTTTAGATTGTGGATTTCGCAGAAGTTGCCCAAGAAAGTACACTACATGTTACATTCAAAAGCTAATTCTTCCATTCCAAGCAAAACTTTAATCAGGGCTCCATAGAAAGCTTTCAAGATTTCTAAAGTGGTAAAGTTTGGTAACACCTAGAACAGAATCTGTAATTAGGTGAAGGGATATTCAAATTTGGTGAATTGCTAGGCCATTTCCTAAAAGATTTGGTCCCAAAGGTACTTTATTCCTAAAAAGTTATCATGAATTTCATGGTTTCTGTTCTGTTTTAAGAATTTTAGAAGAACAACGTTTGAGTGTATAATTCAATGATAAGTGTTTGTATTTTTTATTCAAAAGTTTGAGTTTTAATCTCTTTATTCAAATTAAAAGAAGAAAAGAAAGAGAATTTTTGAGGACAGTCACCAATAAGGACAGAGTTGACTAATTTTTATTAAGAGGTCAAAGATAAAGAAAAATAATTAAATACGATATATAAGATTAATAATTTTTTCTTATATAATCAGTATTGTTTAAAAACTAAATATTTAAAAGATAATTTCTTTTCAACTAAATATAAAACATGAAGTATATAAAAATATCGTATATAATCAAGATTAATAAAAAAAATGATATATTGGTGAAATTTTAAGTAGCAATCAATAATGCAACATTACAAAGCATATTTGAAAATTATATAGTAATTTTTTAATTTTTAAAGACTAAAATCATTGAAAACATATAGCAAAAAAAAAAAAAAGAAAAACATAACAAGTAAAAAATAGAACTACATAACAAAAAAGAAAAAAGAAAGAATATAGTTGATGATTCATAAAAATTTGAAAAAGAAAATCTATAGAAACTTAAAACATATGATCAAATAGAAGAAAATTGAAAAAATGGATAAATAATAATAATATAAAAAGAAAAAAAAGATAAAAAGAACTTTATCTTTTTGTAATTTCACAATGAAAGGACAAAAAAAAAAGAAATGTGAAAAAATCTAAAAGAGAAAAATTTAAGAATTAAGATCAAGTTAAAAAAATTAAAAGAGTTTTCAACCAATTAAAAAATTATCATGATTGAAAGTGATTCATACAATTAAAAAATGATTAAAATTTTCAACCAACATTTTGAAATAATTTAGGAAAGTCCAATGGTAAAATCAGTTTAAATAAAAGAGTTACTCGGTTGTTTCAAATTAAATGATTATATTTAATTTAGTCAAACCAAATCAAAATCATTATTTTTTTAATACTATCATATTCGTGATTAAGCTTTAAAAAAAATTAACTGTCTAATTTAATTTGATTACATATTGATCTTGAATTTCTCTAATAACATGATTCCTTTCACCTTTTCAATACAAGTTTAGAGTTGCTTCGAATTAAAAGTTCCAAGAATAAGTAGCTTTAAATAATATAATACTATTATCATAAATAGAGTTTAATTGCTAAGAAAAGAAAAGAAAAAAAGGCAAAAGAAAACACCACAAAATCCACACATTACTTTATCTTCCACAAAAATGCCTTGGAAGCCACTGAAGCAAACCGGTTAAACTCTGTACAGTTAAAACACTCTTGTCTCCAGATCTCTGTCCCTCCACTCTCTCTCTCTCTCTAAAGCCAAACTGAAAAATTTTCAGACGAAATCCAAAGAGACATGAACCCAATGTCAATTTGCTCTTCGTCCTCTTCTTCTTCTTCTTCTTCTTCTTCGTCTTCTTCAACAGCTAAAGCTTGGATAGTTCACAGCATTCTAGCTGGTACAGCAATTGCCGTGGCCATAGGTGCCCGTGCCTATCTGGGTGGGGCCAAGAAGTTCCGGTCCCGGGTCGTGGGCATTATACCCGCCAGGTTTGCCTCTTCCCGGTTCCAAGGCAAGCCTTTGGTTCAGATCCTTGGAAAACCCATGATTCAGGTGCCCTTTTGGTTGAACTCCCCTGATTTTATCTAAATTTTCAACTTTTTATGTGCCCTTTTTATGTTGCATTGTTTTGGGTTGTAATTTGCTAATAAATTCGATAGGGGTTTTCCTTTAATGTAAATTAGGAGATTAAGGAGGTAATTTTTAATTTTCTAGTGTTTTACATATGTGGAGAGAATAGTAGAGAAAAAGAAAAAGATCCAATTTTTATATTTGCCAGCATGTTATAGTTTAGTTTGCAATGGACCATTGTAATTAATATTTTAGAATTTTGATTACATTCCTGAGAACAAATGGATCAAAATTCTATACTTGGGAAAAAAAATACTATAGATCAAGAATTTTGTATTGAGAGCGTTTAAATTTCTTTGTAATCTTCTGTAGGATCCTGAATGTGTGAGATGCAAGATGGTCTATATGAGACTAGGAATAAGTCGAACCACATTTGAACTCAGAAATTCCAGTTTGTTTAATTGCAATCAATCTTGTGATATTGGTTAGGATAAAGATCTGAGTTTAATGTGTTCGAAGGACTTTGCATGTTAAAAGTTAGTTTCCATTGATTGAAAGATCCTGTTGGAGATCGCTTTTAGCTTATGTCCGGAAGCATGACATTATATGCCTAGGTTTAATTTAAATGAAGTTTTAATAAAACATGAGCAGCTGGTTTTGCCCATGATGATGAGGATGAAAACTTGGTTTGCGCAAGTTGCAGTTTTCATTGCCCAGTTCCTTCCTGCTTCCCAAAATTTGATGATATTTCGTGTTTGTTTAATGCTGACATTTCTGTTGGCCTTAAACAGAGAACTTGGGAAAGGTCAAAATTGGCAACTACATTGGATCATATAGGTATGTTTGCTACTTGAATTCCATTTAATTTTATGGTGATTCAAAAAGTTTAGGGGAAAGGTTTATGTTTGTGCTAAAATCATTTGATTCTTTATTTAATCAAATAACTGTCTATGAGCTAGAGTTGATTAGATTGCTAGGCAACTGCATGACAAAAAGCATGCATTTAGTTTTTAATGCAGTGATTGATGACTGATATATTATCTTTGTTCTATCTTGTTTATCACACATCCTATTAGTATAAATTGCTTTTCTTGCCTGTGGAAGGCATGGATCTGCTTGGTATAGCAACTGAATCATGCAATCTCCTTGTCATTGATGATTTATACTTTAGGATTAATGTTATGAACAAAATATGAGAGCATCAGAAATAGGGATCTAATGATGGTTGCTTCTGGCCCTTTGGGATGGATAGTTCAGTGCACTGTTTCTGAATTTTTGATGTCCTGTAACTGTTCTTTCTGAATTGGCTTTGTCTCTCGTTGCATTATATAACATCTGACTTAATTATTCCTTTCTGGTCTAGTTGTGGCTACGGATGATGAAAAGATTGCCGAATGCTGTCGAGGATTTGGTGCTGATGTGATAATGACATCAGAGTCTTGTCAAAATGGTGGGAGCCATGATTCTCATCATGTTACTAATATTCATTCTATACTTGATATCCTGACATTTGACATGGTGGTATCCATTCTTTGGTAACTTGTAGGCACTGAAAGATGTAATGAAGCACTTGGAAAGCTAGAGAAGAAGTATGACATTGTTGTGAATATTCAGGGGGATGAACCACTTATTGAACCTGAGATAATAGATGGAGTTGTTAAAGCTCTGCAGGTTTGTCATTCTGCGTTTTGTAAAGTAGATTGGTCTATGTTGGTTCTATTGCTTTATAGTTGATGTTGATATCTGCTATCATATATATTGTTCCTTGTATAAGTGCTTATTGTTTTATGCTGTGTCAAAATGGTCTACTTGTGTTGCAGGCAGCACCAGATGCAGTGTTTAGCACTGCTGTCACCTCTTTGAAACCTGAAGATGCTTTTGATCCAAATAGAGTGAAATGTGTGGTAGATAACCGTGGTTATGCTATTTATTTCTCTAGAGGACTGATACCATTTAACAAGTGAGATTATACATCTCTATGTGTTTGTGTATTACATGTTTTGTTTTACTTGCACTAGACTATGGCCCGTTCGTTGCACACGGGCCGCTTTCTACCTGTTTTTTTCTTTCTCCTTTTACCTCCTCTTTTTCTTTCCTTTTTCTCTTTTTTCCTATGCCTCCATGTGGTTAGAGGAGGAAGCCCCTTTGGGGCTTCCTTTTGCTTATGTTATAGATTTGCACTAATGTATTTGTTGATTGACTTGATATAGATCAGCAAACGTTAACCCACACTTTCCATACTTGCTTCATCTTGGAATTCAGGTATTGGGATGGCATTTTTCTATAGTTTAAAGTTAAAAATAAATCTATTTTTCCTGCAATTTTTTGTTCTTCAAATGATAGTGAATTTTCTTCGAACAGAGCTATGATTCAGAATTTCTAAAAATATATCCAAAGCTTCAGCCTACTCCACTGCAATTGGAAGAGGATCTAGAACAGCTTAAAGTCCTTGAGAATGGCTATAAGATGAAGGTATGGTAAAAATCGTATGCCATTCTTTAACCATTTTGCCAATAGGACAAAGATATAGTAAACTTATTATACCACTTTTTGTGGATGCAATCATTGCGTTCTTCATTATGTTTAGAGTGTCCTTTTCACTTTTTACTATACTCGAGATAATATATCCTTCGTGCCTCTGATATTCATAATGGAGCTTTCATTCCATGAGATATATTAGCATGGGGTGAATTAATTTTCCAAAGATGCCATAACATCCTTATGGTAAATTAGTTTAGACTGCAATATGCACCTCTACTTTAGCTTCATTCTTCCTTTATTCCAATCACACTTGTCTTTGGACCGAACTCAGTTAATTTCTAACCTCCTTGCAAAGGAAATGGTCTTTGATTATCCAGACTGAATTACAATGATTTACGTCGGCAACTGAGGTAATTAGCATTTAAGTCGCTTACACTCTTTATTGCAGGTCATAAAGGTTGACCACGAGGCCCATGGGATTGACACACCCGAAGATGTGGAGAAGATAGAATCTCTAATGTGTGAGAGAAACTTGTCTTAGTTCAGAGAATACCAATCAGACATTGATATTGATAGTTGAACCTTTTATGCAATAGGTTATATGTATTTGTTCATCTATGTTGTTTAGGAAACAGAAGGAAAGAGAATGGAAGGAATTGAAAAATGTTTTTAAGTAAAATTTTTCATCATAAATTCATCGATAATAAGTCACTTTTGACAGAAATTTTCGTGCCAAAATATTCACTGGGAGTAAAAATTTTACCTGGCAGATTCTCACAGATAATCAGACTTTGAAACTTTGGTACAAGACAAATGGAAAAACAAACGTCCATCGGCTTCAATTCCTTTACTTACACAACTTGCATTAAACAGATTTAGAACACTTAATCCACTTTGGAACAGGCTGAATTAGTGCAATATCTTTGGGAAAATAGAACTAGCCAACGAGTAATTAAGCTCATATCTACTCAAGCATCTATGCTTTGAAAATTGTCAAAGGTAAAGATCAGCCAAAGCTTCAAACTCAGCAGTCAGCATTCAAAGCCTTTGGCCCTCTTTCTCTTCCGTGACTAACTCAACCTCTGTTTTGAAGAGAAGAATGGACAATGAGTCAATTGAAAAGTAGACGAAGCCACCTGCCGAGTGAGTCACAAACGATCCGAAACTCGTTCCAATCACACAGTGCCATGCTGGTCCGTACGCCGAGTCGAACTCCTAAAAACACATAATTCACTGTGTCCTCACAAACCCTTTTTGATATACACAAAAAGAAGCCTAAATACACATGACAATTTGTGTATATGTATGGATGAATTATGAATGGATGCATGATCAATACTAATGCATGTACCTTTTTGATCGCTCGAGCCAAGTGAGTAAGGTTAGGGCGTGTCTTGGGAGCAGAATCAAGAAGCTGCCTACTGCAACGGAGGGCATGCTCTTGCATGCAAATTGGCATATCGGATGATCTCAACCGTACGTTAAGGCTGATTGCAATTGCAGCCAGCTTCACTTCCTCCATAGGAAACTTTTCTTTGGTTCCCTGCCTAATTTTGCTTGGAAAGGAACGTTTCAACTCTTGCTTCTCTTTCAAACACTCAGAATTTTCCATGAAAAAAGAGAATAGGAAGGAAATGTGAACGAAAGAGCTCAAAGAGAAACTAAAGACAAAGAGAGTTGAACTTTGACTGTCCATGAAATGTAGTATTATCGATTTGGTGGGATTCCGCATGGATTTTTCCCGAGTTTCTTAGCAAGTCCACTTCACGAGCCAATGGAATTTGTACATGTGTCGTAATGAGATTTTGCTGCTGATTTGGTTGGTATGTTACTTTCACGTGCCTGAGAAAAGGTTGGTTTAAGTGAAGGATGCTGAGATGGAGTCCGGGATCGTATACTGACACGAGTAAAGCATGAGAAGTGGGAACCATGAGAATAAGAATGAGGTCCTGGCTCTTTTGACTGAGGTTGTCACCAGGTCAAACCTAATGAATGCAGGTTGGGCCTAATTTGGGTTCAGTTTTTGAACAGCATAGTGTCCAATAGGCAGATCAATGCAAAAAGAAACAAACATAAGAGTAACTAAAAACCCAGCAGCAATACGTGAGAAAAATACTTCAATTTCATGAAAACAGCTCCTCAAACAAAACAAGGTCGTCAAAAGAAAATCTTCACTCTTTCTTCTTTTCTTTTTTTCACTAATACAAAGAAAACAATCAATCTAGGCCTAATCATCACTCTTTGACAACATTTGTACAAAGACCAAAAGTAAAAGGAATAAGGAAATCTTCTATGGGAATCTTACAAATAGCGAAACAAGCACAACCCTAGAACCATGACACACTTTTCTTCAAGATTTATTGATTTACTTGTGTTCCTCACAAGCATGAGAAATTACCTTCAGCTGCAGTTCCAGCCAGACCTGAGAACAAAAAAAATAATATAGAGTTCTGTTAATTTATGGAAGTATAAGGTGCTACCTGTATAAAGGCATGCTAAATGAGATTAAAGAAAGAAAGAGAAAGTAAATGTCATAAGCATTTTACCTTCTTGAACTTATTGAAATAGCGGTACCTTTTAGGCCTGAATTCTCCTCTCCAACCTTGCTTTCTGCAGAGCATATGTAACATAGAGCCAATCCTTCACCTCGTCCAAGAAACGGAAATAGGAATGCCTCCCCGAACGCTTGAACAACAAAGCACCACAAAATCCCCAAAAACCGACCACAAATCCAATTCCCATGCCAGCATAAAACCATTCCAAGAATTCATCAAAATCATCTTGACCTCTTTCCAGTTGACCTTGAGGTACTTCCACTGATCCTGAGCAATTTGGTGTGACTGGAGGACCACAGAGTCCGTGATTGTGGGAAAATATAGAAGGATCGAAGCCTTGTAGTTGAGTTCCTGATGGAATTTTCCCTGACAAATAATTATAGGACAAGTCCAAGCTACCCAAAAATGTCAACTCAGACAAGCTTGGTGGGATGCTACCTGAAATTTTGTTCCTTGACAGATCAAGTGATTGTAATTGTCCTAATTGCCCAATCTTTCGAGGAATTTGGCCAGTCAAAAAGTTTCTTGATAAATTCAATGCAATCAATTCTTGAAGACTACTTATTTCTTCCGGAATCTCTCCTGTTAATTTGTTACTGGAGAGATCAATGACTAATAACAGGCCAAGAATTTTTGCATACAATTGCTTTTTTCCTTTCCATACAAGCAATGCCTCATCAACATAGTTGAGTTCTACGAACGCTCCATAAGGATGATTAGTTACATAACCAAACCGTGGTACTGTAAAGAGATGCTCAATCCTTTGATCTAAATCCACCTTTTGAGCCATAGAAGTGAAATTATTGAGACAACCTGGTATGGTACCAGAGATTTTATTTACAGAGAGGTCCAAGATTTGAATATGTTTCAGTCCACAGAGTTGAAAGGGTATCTTCCCAGTAAACTGATTGTTTTGAAGGTTAAGAAAAACCAACCGTGGTAAACTCTGACTATTCCACAACGATAGCTTTCCTGATAATCTATTGTCGCTTAAGTCTAAAAATTTTAATTTTGTACAGTTCCATGGAGATGAAGGTAATTTTCCCGCAAATCTATTCCCATGTAAACTGAGCATTTCAAGAGAAGCCAAAGATCCCAAGGAGCTTGAAATTGGGCCCGACAAATTGTTGTCAGCCAAATTCAAAGCTGTTAGCTTTGGAAATTGTGCAAAACAGTTAGGAACCACACCAGAAAATTGATTAATCGAGAGATCAAGGACTCTCAAACCATCTTTATTTATTATATTGCAAATTGAAGAGATTGAGCCGAAAAACTTGTTTTTGGAGAGGTTTAAGGACAGCAAAACAGATAGCACCCGTGGCAATGGACCTGATAAATTATTAGAGCTTAAATCTAGACGACTCATTTCAATAGAGTTACTTGGCAAAGTACCATTGATCTGGTTGAAAGAGAGGTTTAAGTACTCCATTTGGTAATATTGGTCCCAAAACCAATGGGGAAGGGAATCCGAAATTTCCGCAACAGAGATATCAAGGGCACGGACCAAATTTTGAGTCCTAAGCCATTCTGGGAATCGAGGCCCTAACTTGCAAGAGCTAAGGAGTATATCCCCCAATTGGAAAGGAGGGATCCAGCCAGAGTTGAATTTTAATGTCAAGGAAGTGTAAGATAAGTCTAACTCCCATAACTTGGTAAGGTTTGAGAAATGAGCTTCGGATATCACAACATTCTCAAAAGAATTCCCAGCAAGCCGTAGAACCCAGAGGTTGGACAGTTGTCCAATGCTTTCGCTTATGGTTCCTTTTAAAAGGTTGTACCCAAGATCTAGTACTCTCAAGGATGATAGGTTTGCCACTTCATTTAGCACAGAACTCATGAGTTGATTCTGAGCTAATCTCAAATCCTCCAACGAGTCAGCTGTACCGAAAGATGTGTTTTGCACAAATCCAAAAGCACTGAGATGGTTGGACTCCATTACTAAATATCTCAAACTACACATACTCCAAAAAGATCTATATATTCCACCTTCAAGCTGATTGTGGCTCAGAGAAAGATATTCCATATCAACCATGTTGCCAAAAGATTCTGGAATTGGACCTTTCAACTGGTTCCTTGAGAGATCAAGGAACACAAGGTTGCTGCTAACATTAAACAACCATGGGTATATTGCAGAAGAAGTGAGATAGTTACCAGACAGATGCAGGCTGGTGAGAGATGTAGAAGAGTTGACGAGGGAAAGAGATGAAGGAAAGGCACTTGGAAGATCACAATCGTTCATGGACAACTTTTCAAGGAAAGGAAGCTGGTTAACTACTTGTAACCAATCACTAGCCTTACTAAGGTTAGTGAAACTGAGATCAAGGTGTTTTAAAGAAGTGAGACGGGAAAGCCACTCAAGGTTTCCACTAAATAATTTTGGAAATTTGTTGTTAAAGTTCATATTGTAGAGGTAGTTTGGATCTAAAACAGAACCCAGACAAAGAGTCTCCAACTTCGAAAGGTTTCCTAGCTGAGAAGGAATTGGTCCTTTAAAATTAGCAAGAGAGAGATCGAGGTAAACCAAATTTTTGAGAGAACCAATGAACTCAGGGATGCGACTGCCATTAAAATCATTTTCTCTTAGAAATAAACCACTCAAATGTTGCAGTTTAAGCAATGAAGGACTAATTGTACCTGATACAAGCCAGAAACGTTCACTAAGATCGAGAGTTTCCACGTAGCCTTTAAAGATGTTGCAGTAGACACCCGTCCAAGCACAACAATCCTTTCCGTCCCATGAAGAGAGGCCGCCATTGCCCACCTGATCTACAACTTGAAGGCTTTGCTTGAAGTCGAGGAGCGCTTGTCTCTCACCCTCATTGCACATTATCAAGCCTTCAGCTGTGGTGGATTTCTCTTGAACAAGAAGATGAAATATTGCAACAAATAAAACTAGCAGGAGAAGCTGGGACCTTGCCCCTGACATCATAACCATCATCAAGCAACACCAAATTGCCTAAATTATAACAATGACAGTATGATTGTGTTGCGTTTTTTGAGACTAGGAGCTCGGGCAATGCCCTTCTTAAATAAAGCTGCTCCATAAGCTAGTTAATTATTTCGTTGTGGTGGAAAACCATATGTAATATAACTTTCTTTTTTGTTGTTAATATTTAAACTCATAATTGTGTCTTGTAGTGCTATAAAGTAAATAATTATCCATTTTTAATCCTATTAAATTAACCTTTTGAGGAAGACTAGACTTGCTTTTTGATTTTAATAATTAATTTGATTCTCCCACTATTTTCTTCTTTAATCTTTTATCAAGCATGCAAAAGCTGAGTATATCAATGTAGATTTTGTTAGTTCCTTATACCATCCAAAAAAGTATATTCAAAATAATTTATTATCACTTAGGGCCCGAAGCAAATCTCAAGGAGCTCAGAATTTTGACCTGACAACTTGTTTTCAACCAGATTCAAAGCTCTTAAATTTGAAAATTGTGCAAAACAATCAGTAACCACTCTAGAAATTAAATTATTTAAACGATCAAGTAATTCTAAATAACCTTTATAGATAATATTGTAAATAGAAGAGATTGAACCTGAAAACTTGTTTATGGAAGCCTAATTAATTAATTTGTCTTTCTTTGCAAAAACTGACTTGTCTAACACGGTGTGATCACACCAATTTCCACAAGTCCACTGCTAAGTCTTTAATTATATTATTAACTCCACCGAGTAGTTTTTATCATCACTTTACGCTACACATTCGGCAAGAGAAACCTTTTGAAGAAGACTAGGCAGCCTTGGCTTGCTTTTTGGTTTAAGTTCCACCATTTTCTTCTTTAATTACTTACCTGTAGTCATCTATGTAGGTCTTGCTATGACAATTTTATAATCAGGAAGTCCTAATCACGTACCACCAAATAGATTAGAACATATAAGGGAAAAAAAAAAAGTAAGTCAAATTTTTAATTAATCATTGTAATAAGATGGTTTAAACAAGAGTCATGTTCAGCTTTATCTGGCTCAAATTAGTAAAAGATAGTTTTCTTAGGGGTGGATTAAATATCATAATTAACTAAAAAGTAAGAAAATAGTAAAAATAGAAGAAAAATAAAATAAAATAAAATACAAATTAATCACTTTTTTTTTCTTAATTTCCATAAACACTCGCATTTATTACTGTAAGACTGCTAAGAAATTATTTTCGTTTTAATTACTTTATATCCTAATAACGGTAATAAGTCTCTAAACTCTACACCTACTAATAGACCTTGTTGGGTGTTGAGTGCTTCAATTGTTGAAAATTTTTATCATATAAATATATATAAGCAGAAATTAAGACACCTTTTATGTTTTTGGGTCCTTCTTCCATGCCCAAAGGAAATTACCTGAGGATTAGCTCTAATTAATGAATGTGACTATTTTGCTTTTAATTGGTATGCTCCACTTTTTTCCTCTTCAATCAATTACCTTGCAGGCCGAATGAGGCTAATCCCTGATGCCTATGAAATTGCAACAGCAGACACAACGAAGGAGGAGTAATTTTGTCAAATTTAAGGTAAAAAACTTATTTGAGTTTAAATTTATATTCTTTTAACTCTAATTTGTGTTTCTGCGTGGGGTACACCAAAAATTAAAAAGAAAAAAGAAAATTGACTTATCTAACACGATGCTCACACTGATCTTCTCAAGTCCATTCGTAAAATCAACTTGTTTTTTTATTACTAAACCAATGACCGAAGGTCTCATTGTTAATTAAAAGTCTAAATTCTAAATTCCGCATATCTTACACAATTTGATCAGCTACAAACCTGAGAGAATGGTTGAAGTAAAGCCATATTTAAACTCATAATGGTGTTAGTGCTGTAAAGTAAAACTCTTAAAGTTGTTTTTGATCTAAAAAATGAAGTCTTGGACAAGTTTTTTTTTTCGTTTTATATATAATAAAGTGTTATCCCTTGAGCAAAAAAAGAAAAGGAATTGTTATCCTCTTTTTCGACCTTATTAAATTAATCTTTTAACAATGACTAGACTTGCTTTTTAATTTTAGTAATTTAATTTGATTCCTCCACTGTTGTCTTCTTCAACCTCGTATGAATTCGAAGCACGAAAAAAGGTGTGATCACACCAATTTCCACAAGTTCATTGGTAAGTCTTTAAGAATATACTTAAATTATTAACTCTATCTACTAGTTTTTGCTTTTCCTAAACAAATAAAGGAACTAGTGAAAAGAAAAACCATAAAAAGGCGACTGAATGGCAAAGTCTTTTCTTGTCTCTAAGCAATTACCTATACAGCGAGGCTTTGCTTGAAGTCAAGCAACGCTTGCCTCTCACTCTCTTGCATACTTTACTAATCGTGTTTTTAGTGCTAATAAAAAATATTTAATTTACCATTAAAGTCTTCATCTACCAATATTTACCTTTTGACGACCAGCACTAAGGCATGGGCTTTTCTGGCTCTGAATTTTTCTGTTCTTCTTCGACCACTTACAATGCTAAATTATGAGGGTATACTTCCATGTAGGGTGTTCTGGGATTTGTTTATTCTTTTTTATATTAATTAATATAATTTATACAAACAATGTAAATAATTTACAATTGTTGTATTGAAAAAATTTAAATAAGATATCCAAAATTTAATTCAGTGGTTAGTACTTGATTCTTTACTCAATGTTAATCCCTAGCTCAATAGTAAAAGAAATTGAAGTAGGATTAGCATTGTGTTTTGAAAATAAAGGAGTGCGCATTGAAGTTGAAGTAAAACAATGTGTTATAATTAAGGAGCTAGGTCAATTAGTAAATTGTTTGTTTCAATATTAACTAGTGTTGGTTTTGTTTGGTTTTGTATAGCATCATCGAATCGGATTTTTATTTCTAGTTCTAAATGTAAATTCATTAGATCTTGAATAGGAATATAGCATGCTAGAAGGAATAGTCTTCATCTACCTTCCCAATCCAAAATTATAATAGTTTTTTTAAAAAAAAGCAATTTATTAAGCCACATTAACCAGCAATCTCATTGCAAGTCTATTACTTGATTAGCATAGACTTAATTGATCCACCGTTCAATTAGAGGTTCGCGGCACACAAAGACAAAATGAGCTTGGAAAAGAAACAAAGGTAGTTCAAGCAAACATATGCAGAAACCGAGCCTCTAAGAAGCACAAGATGAGACATCAAAAACCAAAGTGGCGAGGTTCAAATTCAGAAACCAAAAGCATTAAAGAGACACAAGCCATGACAACTCTTAATGAATTCTTCTACTGCCTTGGTTGCTTCAGTGGTTCAGGCCACCTGGATCATCAGTGAAATTCATGAGGCCATCGAGAAACATTATCCACCCACAACCTTGATCCCACATCCGAAAATTGTACAAATTAGAATATAATTTTAAAATAATTCGCCGAAAAAAAAAGGAATAATGCAAGAGAAAAACATTGATTAGCTAGAAAGATTATGAAGTTTAAAAATCTAAATTGACATGTGTGTCGAAGATTAATAAAACGCTCTACCATCTATTGCCTTCAATCTCACTTTTCTTGTGTGGTCCTTTTCAAATGGTTAAATATAAATTATATAGTAATTCTTAATTGCTTGGGAGCAAATGTTAGTCACAACTAAAAAGAGCTCGAAGGGGAAAGCACTGGATTCTTACAGAGTCTGAAGATTGATGCAAACAAACGCAGAATATATGCATTTGAACAAGAATCAAGCTGAAAAGGAAAACGAAATTTTGTTCGCCCCTTACTCTTAAGAAAACAAGCACTGTAGCCATCAAAATTTTCCTTGTATTTTATTTTGTGAACCGAACTTGTCATAAATGTGAAGTCGAGAATCCAACTTAAAAATATCAAGTCACCGGCAGCTTTGGATAAATTTCAGAAAATATTACATAAGGAATAAGAAAAGGAAGAAAAAATTGAGATAACCTGGCCAAAAATCAAGTCTCATATCTTGGAAATATAATTTATCTTATTATGATCATATGGGCAGGTATATCAAGAAATATATTGTGGGGCGGTAGAAAGTCGGGTCATGCGTCTCGACTGCTACGTGATGCAGGATTGATTGGATACTTAAAGGATTTATTTTTATTATTTGATTTTGCTGTGGTGTATTGATAATTAGGATCATTTTGTGCTGCTTTGATGGGTACTGCCTATGGTTTATTGTTTCTCAGATTTGCATGTGTAATGAACAGCAAATGTTCCTCTGTGAATGATCCAGTCTTGTACCTGTACTTGGAACTTAATAACATGCCAGTTTGATTAAGACAAAAAGGAAGTGTGGCACTCGTGGTTGTAACAAGGTCGCTGATGTGTGGAATCTTCCTCCAAGACAGAAAATTAACTGTCAGTTCAACTCTTAAAGTGTCATCGGGAAAGAAATTGAGTAATGATAAAGTTGAGTTAAAATTGTAATGTAAATGAATTAAATGAGACCATAAGCAACAACATCCCAAAAATGTTAGTAGTAATAGGCACTTAATTTGCTGCAGCTAGCTTAGTCGATAATAAATGTATACAGTGTCCAATACGGCAAGTCAATCCAGGAAGACAGAAATATAAAATAACTAAAAACAAAGCAGCAATATGTGAGAAAAATACTTCAATTTCATGAACAGCAACTCCTCAATCAGACAAGGTCAATAAGAGAAAGCCATCAGTCTAGGCTTGATTAATCGCTAGCAGAGGTTGAACAATATTAGTACAGATATCAAACTGAAAGAAATCTTACAAACAGCGAAATAAGTACACCCCTCAAACCGTTACACACTTTTCTTCAAAATTTACTGATTTACTTTTGTTCCTCATAGCCATGACAAATTATCTTCGGCTGTAGTTCCAACAGTACCTGAGAACAGAAAAATAATGTAGAATTCTATTATTTTATCGAAGCATAATTTGCCATACTAAATGAGATTAAAGAAAGGAAAAAGAAAGAGAGGGTAAATGTCATAAACGTCTTACCTTATTGAACTTATTGA